TGTAAAACTTGCGAGTTTCATTCCGCTTCAAAATAATCGAAAGATGATACTTTTTCATGGCACACACTCTAGTTCAACATTGTCAAGATGTCACCAATTCAACATTGTCAAGATGTCACCAATTAGTATCTTAACTTCAAAAATGTTGATGGTAGTGTTCATACATGAGTTCGACAATACATTTGTTAAACAGTAAAAAGCTCGGAAATTCTCGTTTATTGATAACGTGTTCGGAAACGGGTTACAAACAGCATAAACCAAAGTAATAAATGTAAAGAATGTTGAGTTCGGAAGCTTATATGCTGACGAACCTTGTGCTTTACGAGTTGACTAGCTGAGTAACGAGGTCGGTGAGGTAAGTATCCTAAGGTCGGATCCTGTGTGATAAGTGCTTTGTGATCAGGGTTTATGTGATAAGTACGAACTCTGCAAGCCGTTTTCCAACGAACTTTTGTACGACTCCGGCGAAATGTACGAACATAATTCTTTTCTCTTTTGAGTGAGTTAGAGTCAAAATCGTTGCTCCTTCAGATCTCTTGTACTCTCTCCAAAAGGTAAGAACTGATGGGTAATAGAAGGTGGAAGGACCCCTTTTTATACTAGATTAAGGAGGTACATTTATGTAGGGTTCCTCTTGGAACTTGAATTGGGCTCGGGCCGCTCCTGGGCCGAGTTCGGCGAAATGGGCTTTATAAATCACTGTTTATAAGGCCCATGCCCAACAGTAGCCCCCAAGTCGATGAGCGCGTTGGTTAGTGGGCTTGTCGATGCGGTCTAGCGATCCGTGGGCTCCGGCCCAACTTACTCGTTTCTGATTGGCTTTCTCAAAGCGGTGCACGGATCTCGAAGGGCGGCCTTTCGTCTTCCAAGCTAGGTCTATATAAACGAGATCCGGACTTCAGTTCTTCCCATTTGCATCTCGACCTCTTCTGCCCAAGGTAATCTTTTCTCTAATATCTCTCTCTCTCTAGACTCGCTTTGGTTTTTTTGCTCGGCTTTGCATTTTTCGGCGAGATCTTTCGGTTTCCGATTAGATTTCCACGTTTTCTCGGTTACTTCTTTGATTTTTTCTGTCCGTTTTCTGGGTTTGTGGTCGTTTCTTCATCATGGCTTCTAACTCAAACGATCGCGAAGAGTCTGATTCGATTAACCTTGGCGGCTCTCTAAGCATTGAGTATTCTCCTCCGCAGGGCGATGAATCCCCTGAGGTCTCCTCCTCTTACCAACAACCGTTGGTTCGGAAGAATCAGCGTGATCCGGCAGCTAACCGGGGCAGAGCCGCCTCAAGTTCGGGTCAACTTCCTCCGACGAGCTTTCGTGCTCTGTTGAGCTCGTGCCCTTCTCCGAGCGTGATTCGCCCTCGGATGAGTAAAAGTGGTGGGTCAGAGCTAGGGCTGGTAAGAGTCTGGCCCTTAGGCCTAGCTCGCCCGACCCTGGGTACGAGACCTCCCAGTTTGAGCTGGATGACCTGGATGGTTGTGGTCGTCATCCGAGCCTAGGGCTCGGTCCTCATATCGTCCTCGAGCGTCACGATGACAAGGGGACAAAATCGACTAAGGAAACGCTCAACAATCTCCGAAAGATGTACCAGATTCCGTCGGGGGTTTCCTTTGTTCTCCCGAAGAGTAGTGATCGGTCATGGAATCCTCCCTGGAGGTACATATATTTGTACTAGTCCTTCTTTTAAGAAGGTGGGCTATGGTTTCCTCTTCCGAGGGTCCTGGTCGAGTACTGCGCTTGGAGGAAGATCTCGATGTCTCAAC